CTAGGCAAAACGGACAAGTCATAACTGATACCGACAGGAAAGTGCTGATTATCAAGGGCAGACAAAATGCTAAAATCACAACAAGCACAAAAGTTTGACTGCAGACGTGGAAAAATCCGTATTGCACATTCCAGCACAATCTAGCTGCGACCGTGAGGGGAAGGTGGTGCAGAAAGCCCGGGGTCGGGGCGAAAAGGAGAAACCACAGATGAAGACAAAAGGGAGAACAAATCAAAACAGCCCGGCCTGAAACATTACAGGCACAACACATCAGACGCCTGACTGAGTACGACCTTCAGTTTGACTGAGAGCCAGCTCGTGGTAATTTGGTCTAGTGCATTTAGGGCAGAGCCAGTTAAAATGCGGGCTTACATTTTGTTTGGTGGGCACAGCATGAGCAGCTCCTTCACAGTGCAGCAACAGCAGCCCTTCTGACACGGGCTGTCCTCAGTGCATTGTGTAGGTTGAGCGTCTTGGAAGCATTCAGACGCCGATGCATAATCAGTATGGTTACTCGCATAAAGTACAGTAGAAAAGAGTTGAAGTCTTGCGTCTAGGCCAACGCAAATAGGGACATTGCGCAAGCGAATGGCAAGCTGTTACAGTGTCAGTGTAGACAGCTGCCTGGAATTAAATCAGAGTACATCTACAGTTGAAATGCTTTCTGTATTAATATAAAAACAGTTAGGGGTCAGCTACACTTTGTGACTGTAACACCTTCAGCATTTCAATAGCATGGAGAAAAAAAATGGCTTCTGATCCAACTCCAAGTATCGTGTTAGGGTGACTCCCTGCTACTCTGTATATGCAAAACCTCTCTGCACGCCAGATGTGCTGACCTCTTTTTCTTGAAGTTTATTAAACCTTTTCCTTTCTTCCTTTTTTTTTTTTTTATTTGAAATATAGGAAAAACGCTTCAGTTTACCAAAGCAAATTAAATAGCAAAGACATAGTAAGTCCATTCTTGCATGCTGTCAAAACGCTTGATATATTCGAGAACCCCCGAAGAACATTGTCATACCAACAGACTGAAAAAACATCTGTTTTTCTCTCAACTTCTAAATGAAAGTGCAGCACTGGCATCCAAATAGAAAGCACAATAAAACAACAGCGTCTTAATGTTCTCATCCTTCAACACCAGCGTTTTCTTCCTCACTCAAGTAACGAGAATAAGCCACAAAGGTATTGTGTCAGACGGTGTTAACTGGTCAGGGATACTGACTTGTGCGTCACATCTTGTGTCATTTTTCTGCATCACTGACGCAGCGCAAAACAACATAAAACTAAGCTGGTCGTAATTCCTTGTTCCAAAGCCACAGATAGGGATCGGGATATGTGGGGGGGGATCCGTCAACAGATATTGGAAGTGTTGAGCAAGAACAAAATTCTGTTTTCATCAGAAAAACGATCCGAGGGGCTCATTGTGAAAACCGACCGACGGAACATTATGCAAGAGCAGCAAATCTCCCGACTCCAGATGGACGTCACGTACAGTTGGAACCAGAGTGTCTTTTCACGCAGTAAAAGATGTCAACATCGCACCTAACACAGAAAGCTGATATGCTCTGCTCCACATGAATAAATAGTCAGCAGAGGCGCAAACACATGTGCATCATATGCTTGCCTCTCTGCTTTCCAAAACTTCAGAAATCCCTCAGATTCCTGTGCTCAGTGAGAAGGAGAGTAAGTGTTCAGGCAGGGGGGTGAGGAGAAAAAGAGGGCAGACTTCATCTTCCTTTGCTGTGGTGGCAGCCTATACCGACATCTCTAAATTAAATGTGTCATGCGTAGGACGAGTGTTTTTCTAACCACAATAATGTTGCTTCCAGCAGACTGGGCTTGACCCGCACCAGTAAAACTTCTTTTGAAAGCCCCCTAATGTGCTCAGTCCAAATTTGGTAGCTTCCTCGTTGGTGGTTCCCAAGTGCCCCTTTGTATATGCGTGTCACCGCTGTGTGTGTGTGTGGGTTTCATCATTTCACATGGGCCGGTTGAGTGAGCCCAAAACAGTTTGCACTGCACCTGCCATGAGCCTCCAGTGCACAGAAAGCGCCATCAGTTTTTTCAAGCCTTAACAAATCAATATGATTTTGTAGGACTTGGATGGCTGTGGAGGGGAGAGCCCCCTCTTAAGGCTTCATTTAAAGAGCGTTGCGTTTGTTCTTTCCACGTCTTTCAATCTCCCTCCTCTGCACTTATTTAACAGCTTCCTCAAGTGCTGGACATTCCAGGAAACCCAGGCTGAAGATTGGACAGCCACTTCAAAAACACTAACAGGGTCTGACGTATGTACACACGTGTCTGTGCCTGATAGAAAGGTGCGTCGCTACGGGAGACAAAAAAAAACAAACACACTTTTGCATCCCTGACGCACACAGAGCTCTTTATTATGGAAAAAGAAAAACACTAAAAATGTTTCGGTGCAAAATATCAGCCCGTTGCTTTAAACACAGCGATGATCTGCGGGTCACTGACACAGAAATCGTGTCCAACAAGTAACTCCCAAAAAGCAATTTTTTTGGTAAAAATCCAATCAGCTGGAGTGCCAAATTACAGTAAAAGTACAACCCTATGTGGGATACTTCTATGTATCTTCACTGTCTTTTAAAGAAATGCAACTGCAACTACTTCTTTATGACTTCCCCTTAAATTGCTTTGAAATGTATGTTTCTTTAAATATTTCAAATGTGTTGTAACCTATATAAAAATCTACATCAAATCAATATATAGATTACTTGCATTATATGAGATATTCATTTATTGATTGATAAATGATCTGTGGGTTTGTATGAAGTACTTATAAGTACCTTATAACTCCCCAATTCATAAAAATGAAAACTGCATATCTGTTTTATGTCACATGCACATGAGTGGTGAAGTTATTGTGTGATTGCAATCAATAAGCCGGGCCCACTATAGCACATCTCCGCTGGGTCCTGTTATTTCACCGATTCATGTTACTCAGAGAAAACAGTTGCATTCGGTTCTAGAGGCCATAGAGGCTCAGTCATGGCCTGTGTCTCTTACCTCCGAGTTCTTTTACATTCAAGATGGCATTTGGAAACGGCACCGCTTTGATGCTGAAACCTGAGAGGAGACAAATGAAAATCCATCATTAGAATTTTTTGAAAATAAGTGTTTTGCAGGCCTTTGACAGAAAGGCTGTATTTCACTGTATAAGATGATAGATGTATTTGTTTTAAAGAGAGAACAAATGGTGAACAAAAATCTAGCTAAAAAAAAGGCAATATTTCATCATCAGTTTTCCTCAGGATATTTGGCTTACCTTTTCCACCAGCTGGTGAACACAGAGGACTGACAACATATTTGTGCTATAAACACAAAAAAAACACTGTGTGGTCTGGCTTAGCAGAACAGGAGAATAAGAAACGCTCAACAGAATTGCTGTTGGTGTTGTTCTGAGTTGGACTTAATGGAAAACAGAGCCGATGTCTACAGCGCTCCCCTGTATCATGTGGTTTGTTTTTGTGGTTGGATGAGGGAAAACCCACTGAGGAGTAAGATTTAATTTTGCTGCATTGTTTTAGAAGGAAATGCCTTCCTGATAAGGCTTAAATGTCGGAGGAAGAGATGCAAGAGTGCCCAGAATACAAGTTCCCTATAAATAAATTATATGAAAAGTGTGGATTTTAGACGCATGCAAAAGCAAAAATCATGCTGTAAAAAGTAAGAGAAGCCGCAGGAGAGTTTTCCTCTGGAGGCCTTCACGTTCATCCTTTTGTCAAGGTTGGCAGACACAGACTGTGCTGACAGCTAACTCCAGTTCTGAGAAGTCCACTAAAACAGTCCTAAGCTAAGGTAAATGATCAACATGTTTTATTCATCGAGGACTCCCGGCAGGCGTGGACAAGTGCTCAATTCCTACAGAAATACACGCTTATGGTTATCAGCAGCCCGTTTGGAAGGTGCTTTATATTTAGCTTCCACCAGACAAAATCTAAATCTTAAATGGAGCCTCTGCAACAGCTCAACTTCGCTGCTGTCAAAGCCAGCAGAGGAGGGAGGAATGTCAGTGTTCTTGGGGGACTGCATATATGGAAAGTAGTGATGACTACCAGGAAAATGATGTACTAACAGAAAAAGCCTCCTGCTACTCTGGACATACTTAACACCAGCCTCCAACCTGACAGGGGCAGAGAAGCTAAACTATGGGTGCTAACATCCTGCCATCCATTCTGACAAGAAAAAGATAAAGAAAAGATAAACACCAGGACTTGGATTACACAGTGTAAGCGTACTTTTTCCTCTAGGAAAATGGGCTAGCCAAGATAGTATTAGAATTTATCTGTGCTCCTAACCTGAGGGACAGAACAAAAGGTGGTTAGGAACCTCGGAGAGCCGTGGCACATACCTGTTGTGGGAACGATCCCGTCACTGCCCTCGCTGCAAAGGCGGGAGAGCAGGCTGGTCTTTCCAGCGCCCGTCAGGCCGATGCACACCACATCGTACTCTGGTCTCGGTGGTGGGGGTCCTTTACAGCACAGTGCCCGAAAACACTAAAACAAAGCATATAAAGCACTTAATGCAAAGCAGGCCAGAAGGGACAGGCATCCACACCAATGGAGAGAGAGACAATTAACTTTTTTTTGTTTTTTTACATTTAGAACAAATAAATGCTCCTTTGATGCACGGAACGAGTCAGTTTATAGATGAGGATATTTTCACCACAGTGAGAATTGGAAAAAAAAAATTTGACGTGATGCAAATAAAGCTACAAGTTGTTTAACTTGTGTTCTTTTTTGTTATCGGGTTACACAGAGTGAATGTGCACATAAAAAGAAAATCAGCAATGCTCATTAGGCTGTTCAGATGCATCCATCTAAGTGTTGTTGCAACTTTTTTTTCCCCCTCTGATTCTGGACCTTATCTGATTGGGCCCTTATGGCGGCCAAAGGTAGACCTGTCACCCCATGAATCATGGCCTGAGACCCGAGGCCTGCTGTGAGACATTAAGGAGCAAATGCAGTGTGAACCGTGAATGAGATCCTTAAACTTGTGTGGAGAGATCAGTATCCAAAACTAAAGAGAGATCTCTTTTATTAGCAAGACAGGAACCAGTCTGGACAAGGCAGGGCAGACAAACACACACACACACACACGCACGCAGCGTCTCCCATCTTGTATATCGCGTTTCAGGTGAGAAAACATTAACTCCAGACTTCATACTCCTCGTGTTAGCAGATGACCCTGTTCAACCCAAAGACTCTCAGGACTGGCTGGGACGGTTTGATAAATCACGCGTCCTTTGGCAAAGCCATCAAAAAGTGCCAGTCTCACGGGGGAAACGTAGACATGAACCAATGAGACGATACAGAAAGTACTATCGTCCAAAGTCCCCAATAATATAGAGGCTAAATATTTTGTCTTGAACATTTTCTTGTAAAATTAGCAGCATTTGCAACGGGACAACAGACAGTCGGAGCAACAGCAGATCAGAGGTGTTTGAGCCTCCTTCCTCCTCAGTCACCAGAGTATCGGGATGGCCAGGGTCAGTTTTCAGAGCTGTGGTAAAATTTCGCTGCTGTGAGGTGGAGATGTGGGGAATCTGCTTCAGCAGAACCAGACGTCGGCTCAGCAACCCGACCCCCCGACTCCTCTGTGAACCCACCCGTCTGCTCAAACAGGAAGCATTCACCTTTACAGCTAAGATCAGAAACACACGCGTGTCAGATGTGGGGACACATGTACAAACTTTCTTTGATTAGGTCATTATGCTCGCTTTCTGGCTCACTTCCCTCCTTTGTCACCTGTAACCGCCCCCCCGATTTCCTGCTAACTACATGCAAAGGTTTCTGCAGAGGATTCTGTTAACCCTTCAGCTGTCCTCTGCTGGAAAAAAGGGTGGGGATGGAGGAACTGATGGAGAAAATTGAGCTGCAGAGAGTTAGAGGAAGAATTTACAAACCCCGTTTGGGTGTACATGACAATAAAAGCAACAATGACTGCTGTCACTGGGTGCATGGGAGCAAACAGAGAGATTTCACAACAGTTACTAAAGAAGCTTCCAGGGCCTGACCCCAAGGTCCACATTTACACAGTGGCCCCTGTGAGAGAGATAGATGGCAGCTCCCACCTCTGGCCCTCTTTGACAGCTCAAGATTGACGAGTAAGGCTGGTCAAAAGGCTCACAGGAGAAAAATAAATATGTCGAAAGGCCTCTGCTCACTTCAAGACAAACCCACCCCTCCCCGGCAGCCCCTGGACTCAGTGATTTGAGAGGCTGTGTACTGTGTAACTGAGACACAGGGTTCAAATCAGTCTGTGGTCAGTTCCTTTCTTACTCTCCTTTCAACCAGACAAAAAGCTGGGACAGAAGTGGAGCTGAGGAATATCTGAGTCCCGCATGTAAAATCGAGCACCTGTGTGGGCTTCTCAATTATCATTATCACACAGCTCTGTGTGGAATAAAGAAAGAACAATCGCCCTGCGAAAGAAGGAAAAAAAAAACTTGTTTGCCATTCCCAGACATTATTGATTAGCTGCCTCTTATAGACACGTTTTAACTGAGCTCCCCTGAAAGACCAGGCGAGACATTACCTCACTGTTCAGAGACCTGATTGGTAAAGCTTTATGTAAATGAGAATATCGTTCGCATTACCCACTGCCTGATCTTTCCAAATGAAAAAGGGGGGGGTGGGTGATGCGTGACGGAATGAGGGGGAAAAAAGGGTCTCCAGTTTGACAAAGATATCAAGACTTTTAATGGGTGACATAATTGGGCCTCCTGGCAACTGACCAAAGATCAAGAAGACACCAAAGTTATTAAGCTGTAGTCTAAGTGATGGGAGAGCACATCGTTTAGAGTTTAAAAAGGATACCGATGGCACAAGAATCATTTGCTGCGGGCTTTCTGTCTCCCCCGTTCTTTTCATTCAGGCAGGGCTCAAAGTCCCTGGAGATCGGTGACTGTCCACATAGATTTGAACAGCGTCCGTCTGATCGGGGTTCCGTGAATCATCACCCATCACAATGCAAATCTATCTGATGTACCTACGGCTCTTCCAGAAAACCGCTCAGTATTTTTAGACGTAATAAATGTAGGTTAGAGGGAAGCCGCAGCCGTCACGGCAGCAGACCAGTTCATGTTTCCCTCTCATGCTCGGGCTACTGCTCAGACATTAGGACAGGGAAACGGCCAGTGCTGTGACGGCATGTTCCAAACTGAGGCTCCCAGCAAGATTCCAGTTGGCATCGGGCAGGTATCCTGTGCCTGTGGACTGGCATTACCAATATTACCAGCTTATTATCGAGGATTTTGAAACTGCACCATTTTTCAGAATGGCCAAACCTTAAAACTATGGAAACTGCACCGCATGAGCAATTGCTATTTTTCCATTTCATTTCCAAAATGAACAAATCCAGCAGCAAGGCAGGCCCCTAAAGCACGCGCATTGAGTGGATGTGTTAACAGGGTCGAATTGATGTTGGAAAAAATCTGGGGTGAGAAAAAAAAGAAATTGAAATGGAAAATGGAAGGTTCGACTCCTGCTTAACTATTCACACAAGAGACGTTAATCTGGAAACTATGAATCAATGAAAATCTGTTCCTAAAACGTTCATACAGATGTTCTGACGATCTACACAGCATCCCTAATGCAGAAGTACATTTAGTTTGACCAAAAATAAATACCATTATCCATGTAATATGCCTCCAACACTTCTTAATGACGGGGAAGCTACACATCAGCAGATAAGTGAAAAGGTCTGAGGTTTTCTCTGAGCCCCGACACGGTGCTAATGAGAGAAACACTGCTGTTAGAAACGTCTGGATCACATTCACATCAAGGCGTTTCCAATATCTGGGCGCACCAGAAAACAAACAACTGTTTCCTACTTGGCAGGCGGTTTACATAAACTGGATATCTGGACTTCCTGACAACGGCGGATCAACCGGAGGAAAGCCGAGAGGACAGCGAGAGATGGGAGAGGACGTCCAAGACACTGTCCCCTGGCAGTCGGAGGCACTGCGGGCAGACGGCCGTGGAGGGGCGAGTGGGCCCTTTTTTTATTTTTCCAGACCAAGTGTCGGGACAACACTTGCGTGCATGGCTCACTCTTGACCTTTGGAAATGACAGTCCTTTATATGGGCGTCCCGGCGGAGAAGCAGTGCCAACAGCTATGTGTGTAATACACACCGTCCCCAGTCATAACACGGGCCCGCGGCGAAGATGGACATACAGGAAAGCCGCCTGTCAGGGATGAAGGAAGCGGAGAGGATGGGAAGGGGGGAGTTGGAGGGAGTGTGTGGGTTAAGTGGGGGGTGGGGGGCCACATTCATTCATCCTCATTCATCTTCTCCCCCCTTCAGTTGTTGTTATTTGCCGCTTTGAAGCCGGAGGCGGTGGGTGGGTGGGTGGAAGTGGGGGGGGGGCACAGTATGGTTCAGTACAGTGAGTGAAGGGGCTGTGTGGGGCACACTGCATGCCATTCTCATTAAGGGGTGAGAGAGACACGCAAGACACACAAGGCTGCTTGCTGGACTCTTCCCAGGCTCAGATGTTACCACACCAACCCCAGACTGCTTCGGGCCAAGGTCCTGGCCACCCCGTTTCAGCTATAAAACGTGACACACATTAAAGAAAGACTTGCAAGTTTGGTCCCACAAGACCCCCCCCCCCCCCCCCAGGCATTTTAACCACCACCCTGATCGGCAGACTCCCGGTAGCAGGTCTTCCCTGTGGGCACCGGAGAAACGACGCCGTGCTCGTTGCCACAGGCAACACAGGCTAAAGCCGAACAGCAAAAAGGAAGAAGAAAAAAAAGCTCCGGAGAGCCTGATGTGCTTTCAACTGTAGCCGTGTGTGATGAAACACAAGATTTACAGCACTTCAAACATGATGGCCAGTTAAGGACACTAAACAGGTGCCGCTCATTTCTCTGGATCAGAAATAGATCACCTACACACACACACACACACAAAGTCAAGCAGACACTGAAAAGTACGCTGGGACATGGGGGGGGGGGGGGACACGACACGCATCATTCCCATTCCGTGCCTCCCCAATGTACATCCCATTACGTTTTGTTTTTGATGGAGTGAATGCTGAATATGTCTGTATCACAAAGAGCAGCCGGACTGAAATAACAGTCGTAAAGCAATAATAAGACGAGCCTGTCTGCACCAGCTCAGCATCCCATCTGGGGAAGTGGGCCGCGTCTTACTTGGGTGGACAAAACAACTGGCGGGCCGTTGTGCCTGCCTGCCTGTCTGGGTGCGCACAGGAGGGCCCCCGTTTTAAAAGCGCTCTGCTCCTCGCTGCTTTGCAGGCACGTCACCTCTTCATTGTGAGGCAACATCAACACTCTCCCCTTTTTTTCTCTGCTGCCTACCACCGCGGCTGCCCAAGCCATTCATCCCACTTTCTGTTTGTCTGGAGCTCGTTTCAGACCTCCAACACTATTCGCCCTGACGCTAAGGTGTCTGGACAAGGAGACAAGCTGGAACATACACACACACACACACACACACACACACACACACACACACACACACACACATCTACACACGCTGAAGGTTTAAAGTGAAGTTAGAGCGCCCCCCAGCTTTTCTGTGGGCAAACGTCACATCGATTCACCGCAGACAGAGAAGCATCGCTCTGGTGTTACTCAGTAACTGTAACTGAGTGAACATAATGAATAACCCAAACGCTCCCAAACACTAACGTCTCATGTTTCTGTTACTGTGTTTGGATAGAAACACAGTAGAGAGCAGGAGGACCTTTAGCCTCCCAAATAAGCTATACATTCACAAACAAAAGTAATTTCATCAACAAAAAAACTTTTAAAAAAGAGCTAATATTAGTGCCTCCAACTATTAAGGACCACAGCCTAATTTATCTATATGGAAGAACGCCTGTCTGAAAACGTCAGTTCACTTTTATAAAATCAACCAGGACAGTTTAGATAGTTGGGCGTGGTTTTCAACAACAGATTGAAGCAACTATCGTGCTTCCCTCTAACCTCTGTGCTTCTCATTTTCAGTAAACAGCTTCAGGGTTAGTTCTCTCCTCTCTGGGCTGACATGGTGGCTTGTGACCCTGTGTAGTTGAGGAGGAGGCCAGATCAAAGGCAGAGGAGCAGCCTTGGAAAAACACTTGGGCTGAGAATGGACGGGATATCTGTCAGGAAGCCTTTCCCACTGGGCTCACTACAGCTAGAGCCCGGAGATCAGGTTACCACCCAAAAACGCCGACATGAAAGAGGGGGCCACGCTCTAATCCGCATACACGGGGTTCTGTCTGTCCTCTGCTTGCACTCCACCGCCAATAATGTATCCCTTCTTCCCCTCTGCCCCTTTCCCTCTAAACTCTACCACTCAGTATCTCGCAGTTAACCCCACACCACAACAGCGAAACATGCCCGCGAGCTTCTCTGCGCCGCCACCTCTCCCTGCTCCAAAACACACAAGCTTCATCACAGGGGATTAACAGGAAACCTTGACACAACCTATTATGAGGGAGACAGAGGGGGCTTGGGTGGTTCTGCCACCCCGAGAGGGTCTTTTATTCCACCGGGGTTGTGATGCTTTTAGAAAAGGAGACTGGAAGACTTCATGCCCTCAGCCTTCTTACTAACCACACTGGCATATACATTGAGGCACTTCCACAACTCCCGGTTACATAGACAAGGCACACTGGCTGGCAAGAGTTGTGCAGTAGCACGCTAGCTCTCAGAAAAGAAGGAGGCAGAGAGAAAAGGAGCTTGGGTAGAGGAGGGTGCATTGAGTGTGTGGGATAGAGGGAGTGTTTGGGCTGACGGTGGTATACATGTGTATGTGTGTGGCAGGGGGTGGGGGTGGGTGTCAGTGCTGTAAATCTTGATGTCAGTGACAGGAAGACTATTGCAGGACCATTACCATAAATCTGACAAACACTAAGTTGATGGGAGGCTGTATCTGTCTGGTCAGGGACCAGTCTAGACGGTCCTATTGAGAGGTCCTACAGCGAAGCCCTGTTTGTTTTCAGCACCATCTGGATGTGGCAGTAAGTGCCCGCTGCTATGGTTCACATACAACACACACACAAACACACACACACACACACACAGAGTACACAATGTGCAACAATCCCAAAACAATTGCAAAGACCCCTTTTTTTTTTTTTTACATTCATCTGTAACAGTTCCATTCATTTAATTAATTTATTTACTACTTTCGAAATTTCTTCACAATCATACTAAGTAGCTGAGTCAGGGTGTACAGTAGAATTTTAAATTGAATTTAAAATGGAATACGATACGCTAGCATTAAATCATCTCTTGAAGTACAGCAATCAAACTAATAACCCATCCACCGGTCACTTGTCGGACAGACACTGCGTCTTCAATCTGAAGCCAAATTTCCATTCAAACGTTTGCCTGAATCTACAGGTTTTTCTGCCCGTACTGCACATGTCACGATCAGCTGACCAAACATGGATCGAGCTCCAGCCACAGAACACTACACAGGTCCCTTGTTTGTCCCCGCAGAGGGGCCGCAGTGCAGCCTACACTGAAGAATCTTTTTTATAAAGTTCCACAGCTCATTATTCTAATCCACTTTTTCTTTTGCAAACGTCTCCTCATCAGCATAGCCCATGCCCCTCTGAGCCAATAGGAGAGAGGCCAACAAAGACGGGAAAAACGAGGATGTGTTTTCAAAGTATAAAATCATTTACACAAAGTGAGCTCACCTCTATAACGGGATTAATCTGAATTGGCTTTAATAAATATGATATTAGAATAAAAACTATAAGCCAAGCAGCAAATTGGGAGGCTGCCAGCCCCCCTGCAGACCCCCCCTGCAAAAAAAAAAAAAAAAAGAAAAAAAAAAAAATGCCCCCACTGACACATTTATCTGTCTGGAGCCTACCTTGGAGCTACTGTTCGTTTCACGACATTTACTGGAAAAGTACATTAGATAGAGCATGACAGGGACGGCATTAAGGGGCCCACCCACAGGGCTGTTTTCTTCCCCCTCTCTATTTGGAAAAGAAAGTGAAAGGCTGAGGTAGAGGCAAAGCAGCTGCATTCGGTTACAGAGGACACCTTTCCTCGGAGGGGCTTCCAGAGGGTGGATAAGGAGGACGGGAAATTAGGTGTTGAAGGGGTGCAAATGGGGGCCCTTTTACGGCATGTAAAACTTAGGTTTGGGTAGGGTGATTTGCTTGGCTACACAGGCAGTGGAAACCCTGGTTTTGTGGGCACAGCGTAGGGCAAAAAGATGTTTTTCTGCACCCATATAGAGGATCAAAGCTCGAGGGGCCCCCTTTTGAAGGGCCTGAAACTAGTGTGCAGGAACCGAGGGGGGTGCGGGGCGCCCCATCTGACAGACATAAAAAGGATGGGTGGATGGGGAGGGTACTTGTCTCACTTACATCAGTTGTAGCTCATTTTCATATAGCATCTCTATTGACAGCCAACTCAATTTCCCCTAAAAACAAATCGCAGAGTCTCTACTCGCCGTGGAGAAAAAAAAACCTGTGGGAAAGTCTCAAGCCTGAGAACGCTAACATGAAGTGTGACCCCTTCCCATCAGCTATTTCAAGGCTCATCTGATTCCAAAATGACGAAAAAAACAAATGGGAACCTTATGAACAATACATGTAGAAATTGTGCTGAAGCAGAGAATTGGATAACACTTAAGTAATAAATACAAATCATTGAAAAACGGCTTGGCCATGATCATCATTCATAACAACCCCATTGACCTTGTTAAACAAGTCCTCTTATTAGGCAGCAGAGGAAAACACAGACAGTCTACAACAAATAAAAAAGGAACAACACATAAAGAGCAAAACCCTCTGTTCTACAAACAGAACCAGGATTGTTAATAGGCCACTAGGGAATTCCAAAGGCAACAAAATGGGAAAACCATTAATTGTACTGAATAGTGTTACGGTTGGCTATCCAATCTGAATGCAGTATCATATTTTAAGCCTTTAGAATCCCTTATTGAATCCCATTTATTTCAGCTTTCAACACACGCACGAAAGTTAAGTCATAAATTACAACTCAAAGACGGAGTTTGGATCTCTCAGTCAGCAGCCAGAAATACTACTTTTTATTAAAAGCCGAAACATAAATCAGTCAGCGCTGTCACATGCAGAGCTACAGTTTCAGCTCGACTGGGCCACAGCGAGCCACTCAAGTGGCTGTATAACTACAGAAACTTAATCACCGAAATAAGTTTTCAAGAGGAAATTATATAAACCAAATAACTGCAAAGACTCGTCTTTAAATGACTTAACTGGTGATTCAGTCGGATCATATTGAGCCTAGAAAATGTGAATTAGCACCGTAACGATGTGGAAATAGTTACAGTCTCTGAAAAACCTCCATGAACCTGTGCAGCTTTCCTTGGAATTCCACGCTAAGATAAATCTTCACTTTGTTTTGGGCTTGAATTTAAAATGAGGCAACACATTTTTCTTAATGATATTTTAACCAGAAGAAAGTGGATTAGAATCTCAGTGCGTATTGTAAAAGCGAACTTTAACTTGTGTTCTTTTGCGTTCACAGACGGGACATAACGGCAGACTGGAGGCAGAAAGGGACTGAAGGTAACGCCGCCGTACTTTGTAAATGTTCCTTCATATTTCCCCACCTCCGTATTTGGAGAAAGCACAGAATCGTGTATGGTCTAGAGCTAATGAAACAACGGACAGATGAAAGAAAATATCATTTTAAAGGCAATTTAATTCCTTAATGTCATTTGAAAAAAGCAAACTGCTACGAGCCCGAACTGCCA